GGGTGTGGGTGTGGGTGTGTGAGTGTGGGTGTGAGAGTGTGGGTGTGAGTGTGGGTGTGGGTGTGGGTGTGGGTGGGTGTGGGGTGTGGGTGTGGATGTGTGAGCGTGGGTGTGGGTGGGTGTGGGTGTGGGTTTGTCTTCTTTTGTTCAACAGCCACACCCATAAAAAAAATATAATTATTCGCATCGACGAGGAAGACTTCTTCAGTTCTGACATGAACCAAGATTATAATCGAGATGCAACGATGAAGATTGCGCCTATTTCCACAACGTAGCAGCAATCACTGTAAAAAAAATTCGTAGAATAATAAACCCTATGAAAAGGGTTTATTAAATTCCTAAACCCTTCACCGTATATTAATAAACCGTTTTATCGTTTATCATCAGTTTCCTAAACCCTTAAAGGGTTTATTAGCCTTCATAAACCCTTTTTAAGGGTTTATTATACGTGGCACTTTCATCAACCCTTAAGGGTTTATTACACCTCCTAAACCCTTTTTTCGCTCATAAACCCTTAAGGGTTGATGAAAGTGCCACGTATAATAAACCCTTAAAAAGGGTTTATGAAGGCTAATAAACCCTTTAAGGGTTTAGGGAACTGATGATAAACGATAAAACGGTTTATTAATATACGGTGAAGGGTTTAGAAATTTAATAAACCCTTTTCATAGGGTTTATTATTCTACGAATTCTTTTTACAGTGATATATTGCTCACACAGTTTTCTAATCTCCATTCTACAACTCGTCAATGTCGAATTCAACTTCTTTACAACCTCAAACCAATGTTCATTCATCATATGCTATGGATCCGCTTAATCAATCACACATAGATACTGCATCTATTCAACCATGGGTGTACTGGCAATATCCTACTACAAATAATTTTTCCTTATCTAGTCAAAATTTTACTAATCTTTGAATTACATGTATTACCTATCTATTTTTATTTGGCATGCATTTAATGTAATACCTAAAAATATAGCAATCTGTATCTAAATTATATGAATATTTCCTAACTTAATACAGTAGTATCTATTTCTGTGAAAGAATACTTTTAAAAAAATTGTTTAATCTAATTTTTTAATTAAACATCTTTTAAATCAATTAAATTTCTGAATGAAAAAATGTTGTCTTTTAATTTAATATATTATCACTTTTGACAAATGACTATCAATCAATTTATCGAATTGTCTAATTAATTTGAACGTAATCTATAATTGATTAGTACTTATCAATTAATTGAAAGAGTATATATGAGCTAGGAATGACAATAAGTGATAAGAAAAAAGTTAGTTTAAAAAATATATATTCAATAAAGCAAATCAACATGTAATTTTGAGTAGTTTTTATTTTTTTATTATTTTTTTTTAAATTATTTTTAGTGTTTTTGTTTTTTTCTTTTTGAATTTGTCAAAGAGATATGTAGAATAACAAGAAAAAAATGAGAGAAAAATAAAGAAAAATAAAGAACAATAAGAGAGAACAAATAAATAGATATAATAAATCAATAAATAGATAAACAAAAAAATAGACAGAGGTGTGGGTGTGGCTGTGGCTGTGGCTGTGGGTGTTGATAAAGAGAAGACTAACACCCACACCCACACCCACCCACCCACCCACACCCACACCCACACCCACAC